GCCCTTCCCTTTATAGAGGAGAAGGTCTAAAGCTTCTCCAAGAAGCTTAAAACCAAGCTTAAACATATGCATTCTGAGGCTTCCAACTGGCACAGCTGGCTTCAACTCAATGAGACAAAAAAGCAGAAAGCTGGCCGACCAGTCTAGGGGGTCGGCCGACCACTCCCCCTGGTCGGCTGACCAGGGGTCAAAAGGGTCAAGAAGAAAAGGTGGTCGGCCTACCCATATTGGTGGCCTCCTAGGTGAATCCAACTTAGTGGTATGGTGGGAGACCAGGGGTCAAAAGGGTCAAGAAGAAAAGGTGGTCGGCCTACCCATATTGGTGGCCTCCTAGGTGAATCCAACTTAGTGGTATGGTGGGAGACTAGAAATTGTGGCCCAAAAGTGAGGGAGACCAGGGGGTCAAATGGGTCAATCATCAAAGGTGGTCGGCCTACCCATATTGGTGGTCTCCCAGGTGAATGCAACTCAGTGGTGGTATGGGAGACCAGAAATTATGGCCCAAAAGTGAGGGAGACCAGCTCTCTAACAAGAAAAACCGGGCGACTGGGGAAAGGTGGTCTCCAAGAAGAAAATGTGGTCCCATACCGATGCAAAACAAAGGTTCGGGGGCCAAAACGCGCAGTCGGGTACCCCAAAAACTGACTATTAAGCACCGGAAGTGGCGTGTGACCACGAAGGTGGTCTCCCGGGACACAGTGTCCCTCTACGGAGAGGAAACAAGGTGTGTGCCAAAAACGGGAGCAAACGGAGGTAGTTAAGCGGTCCCGAACCGAGGCGCGCGCGGCCGACAGCTTCGAAAACCGAAAACTGGTCTCCAAGCGGGAAAAGTGGCTTACGACCACGAAACGTAGCCTACGACCACTGAGAGATGGTCTACGAGACCTCTCCCTCCCTCCAGGAAGAGAAAATAGAGAAAACAGGACTTGGTTTGCAAACCGAGGCAAGGCACAAAAAGGTTCCGAAGCCTGGAGGCAAGGCTTTAAGCCGAGACTTTGCAACCTCAAAACGAGCACAATATGCAATATCACCGAGCGCTCAATTGGTGATGTCTGAGTCTTAAGGTCAGTCAAAAATGGGGTGTCTACACATAGCACCGTTTGAATGTTGACCCTAAATGCAAGCCGATCATCCAGAAAGCCGACGGTCAGCCGCAGAGCACACTGCCGCCGTTGTTGATGAGGTTGACAGGTTGCTTGACGCCGGGGCAATCAGGGAAGTGAACTACCCTACATGGCTCTCTAATACTGTGGTGGTGAAGAAGAAAAATGGGACTTGGCGAGTGTACGATGATTTCACGGACCTAAACAAAGCCTGCCCCAAGGATTGTTTTCCCTTATCCAGAATTGACCAACTTGTAGATGCGACGGCACGCCATCAGCGTATGAGCTTCCTCGATGCTTACAGAGACTACCATCAAATTGCCATGCATCCGGAGGACCAAGACAAAACTGCATTTCTCACCTCGAAAGGAACCTACTGCTATAAGGTTATGCCTTTTGGGCTGAAGAATTCAGGGGCAACTTACAAAGACTAGTCACTGCTATGTTCACGATGCAACTTGGCCAGACTATGGAAGTGTATATTGATGACATGGTGGTCAAGTCCAAAGAAGAGCAAACTCATCTAGCCGATCTGAAAGAGACATTCGGTATTTTACGCAAATACAAAATGAAGCTAAACGCTTCCAAATGCGCGTTTGGGATCGGCTCTAGCAAATTCTTGGGTTACATTGTCAACCACCGAGGAATCGAAGCCAACTGGAGGCAAATCACAACAATCTTCGAGCTTGGGTCCCCTCGTTCAGTAAAAGAGGTTCAAAAGTTGATGGGGATGGCCCGCACTCAACAGGTTCATCAATCGGTCCACAGATCGTTGCCGACAATTCTTTCATACACTATGGCAGGACAAGGCTTTCGAATGGTACGCCGAGTGCGAAGCTACTTTCAACGGCCTTAAGACTTACCTCCGATCAGTATTGCTTTTGACAACACCTTTGGCAGGTGACCCGCTCATTTTGTATCTGGTAGTTTCTGACCGGGCCGTTAGCGCTGTACTGATAAAGGAAGAGCTGGAGGAGCAGTGGCCAGTGTATTATGTGAGCAAGGCAATGGTTGACGCTGAAACACGTTACCTTCCATTGGAAAAACTCATCCTAGCCCTAGTAATGGCGGTAAGAAAACTGATGCATTACTTCTGGAGGCATAGCATCGGGGTGCTAACAAATATCCCCTCCGATCAGTACTACGTAGTGCAAAAGCATCAGGACGTGTTTCAAAGTGGGCTCTTGAACTCGGCCAATACGATATTCAGTTTCTACCTAGAACCTCAATCAAGGGACAAGTGCTGGCCGACTTTGTTGCCGAATTCACTGGGGGTCTTGCCGACTTTAAGTCTGATGAAATTCGACCGAAGCTGAACTAGAGAATTTATGTTGGCGACATTTGGCAGTTGTACTGTGATGGATCATCCAATCAGCGGGGCAGCGGAGCCGGGGTAGTAATCATAGATCCCAACGGCGCAATAATTGAGTAGGCTGTCAAGCTCGACTTCGAAGCATCAAATAACGAAGCCGAATACGAAGCCCTTCTAACCGGTTTGCGAAATGCACATCTTCTGGGTGCTCAGTGTTTGCTTGTATTTTGTGATTCAAAACTAGTGATCAATCAGCTGAAGGGGGAGTAAGTGGCAAAAAATGACCGTATGGCAACTTACATGAAAACGGCTAACTCCTTGTTGGCAAAATTTGACCATCATGAATTGAATCAGATAACACGTGATCAGAACACACATGCAGATGCGCTGGCTTGCCAAGCTTCCACCATTAACTCAGAGATTAAACGGACCATCGAACTAGGTTTCATCCCGGAGCCGAGCATTGGTCCCTCGGAGAAAGTCCAGGTCAATGTCATAGAATCTGGACCAAGTTGGATGGATCCCATTGCTACATTCCTGTCTTCCGAACAGCTCCTAGAGGATAAGAAATAAGCGCACAAGCTGCGAAACAAAGCCCTGTGATACTACTTGGATCCACAAGGAAAACTTTATAAAAAATCCCTTCCTGGTCCATATTTGGAATGCGTGCATCCGGACAAAGTCGAAGAGGTTCTGACTGAAATACATGAAGGCAGTTGTGGCGCCCATTCTGGCGGGCGCTCTTTGGCTCATCGAGCCGTGACACAGGGGTATTACTGGCCAACAATGAGAGCGATGTCGAATGTTATGTGAAAAAGTATGAACAATGCCAGAAATTCTCTCCTTTGACCCACCTGCCTCCTGAAGAGCTAAGCTCCATAACCAATCCATGGCCGTTTGCCCAATGGGGACTTGACATCGTCGGACCACTGCCTCGTGCCCCGGGTAACAAGTAATTTTTTACTGTCGTGACAGATTATTTTACAAAATGGGTAGAAGCGGAGGCACTAATGCACATCTGAGATACCGACGTGAAGTGTTTTTTTTGGAGAAATATCATAACACGATTCGGCATTCCAAGAGCACTTATCTCAGATAACGACACCTAGTTTGATTGTGGCGTCTACCGAGAGTTGTGCAGTAAGTATGGTATCCGGCCTTATTTTTCCACGCCGGGTTATCCACAAAGCAATGGTCAAGCTGAAGCCTCTAACAAATCCATCTTGGACAACATCAAGAAGAGGCTAGAGAAAGCTAAAGGCAAATGGGTCAAAGAATTGCCGAGTGTGTTGTGGGCTCATCGAACTACGTCGAGGCGATCAATTGGGGAAATGTTGTTTACTCTATGCTTTGGAACACAGGCAATCATACCCCTGGAGATCGGCCTCCCAACCTTGAAATCGAAAGTTTTTGATATGGGCCAAAATGACACGATGCTGGCCTTGGATTTGATTCTAATTGAAGAACGAAGAGACCGTGCCCTTGCATCCATGGCGCGGTATCAACAGCAGCTTTCCAAGTCGTATAATCAATGTGTTCAGCTACACCGCTACACACCAGGAGAGTTGGTCCTGAAGAAAGTACTCCCGGCTGCCAGGAAACTGGCTGATGGAAAATAGGGTCGTAACTGGGACGGCCCCTATCAGGTCGATTCGATCGCGGGAGTAGGGGAATATCGGCTCAAAGACATGTTTAGAAGGAGTCTGCCATGGCCTTGGAATTCAACGCATTTACATAAATTCTATCATTGACCCGACTTGTGGGGCTTGATATTTGTACATATTTCACTTTTGCAATGCAAAGTTTCTCATTTCTTCATCGCGCAATTCAGTTCACAAGCCTTTGGATTCGGGGCGCCCTTCGTGGATATCACGATTGGCCAAATTAAGTCTCCGGATTGGGAGCCCCGTCGGTGCATGACACCTTTAGGCCGATAAAGCCTCCTGATTCAGAGTGCCCTTCGTGGATGTCACGATTGGCCAAATTAAGTCTCCGAATTCGAAGCCCCATCAGCGCAAGACCTTTGGGCCGATTAAAGCCTCCGGATTTGGAGCGCCCTTCGTGGATGTCACGATTGGCCAAATTAAGTCTCCGGATTCGGAACCCTATCGACGCAAGACCTTTAGGCCGATTAAAGCCTCCAGATTCAAAGCGCCCTTCGTCGATATCATGATTGGCCAAGTTAAGTCTCCAGATTTGGAGCCCCATTGGCGCAAGACCTTTGGGCTGATAAAGCCTCCGGATTCGGAGTGCCCTTCGTAGATGTCACGATTGGCCAAATTAAGTCTTCGGGTTCGAAGCCCCATCGGCGCAAAACCTTGGGCCAATTAAAGCCTCTGAATTCGGAGCGCCATTCGTGGATATCACGATTGTCCAAGTTAAGTCTTCGAATTCGGAGCCCTATCGGCGTAAGATCTTTGGGCCGATTAAAGCCTCCGAATTCGAAGCGCCCTTCGTGGATGTCATGATTGGCCAAATTAAGTCTCCGGATTCGGAGCCCCATCGGCGCAAGACCTTTGGGCCGATTAAAGCCTCCGGATTCGGAGCGCCCTTCGTGGATATCACGATTGGCCAAATTAAGGCCTCGTTTGGCAACTTACATTTTTAGCCAAAAAGCCAAAAAGTTACTAAAAAAGCCAAAAAGTCTATAAATTTCACCCTACGCGCCTATGTACAGTAGCTTCACGTGATGGGTGGCAGATGCGGTGTAAAAAGACCGTTTTGCCCCTCATTGATTTTCGTTATTCCGTTTTCACCCTCCCTTTATGTCAAACACTGATGGGAATCATTTCAGAGCTACGAATCGTTTCAGAGCTATTATCAGAAAGGGTGTACTACCTTCAGCTATTCAGCTACATCAACATGAAGAGGGTTCTTCGTTCAACGCCAGAAGATAGTAGAAGCTCTGATCTGAAGAGAAAGAAAACCGAAGCGACGACGACAGTCCGCGAAGGTCCTCGGAGAAGCAGACCATCCCCTGACGATTCCTCCAGCCGCAGGTATGCTCTTCTTCTCTCTCTCTCTCTCTCTCTCTCTCTCTCTCTCTCTCTCTTCAGCATCTCTTGTTTCTGTTTCGGAATGTAACCATGACTCGTATGGTCTGTTTGTGATATATGTATGAACTCTGTCTCTCTCTCTCTCTGTCGCACTGTGTCTGTGTATATGTGTCTCGCGCTTTGTCTGACCACTTCCATATTTCAATCTGTCGGTGGAATTCAGATTTGGGCAATTTTTTCAGGAACTACTCTACACACTGCCATGTTTGGGGTTTTAGGGCTTCCTTTGAACTACTGACACCACTTTACAAATTACCGGGTTTTTGGTGGGGGGGAGGTGTGGATCTGATAACCATGACTTGTATGCTCTATTTTTTTGTATATGGATGAACTCTGTCTCTCTGTGTGTCTCTGTGTGTGTGTCTGTGTGTGTTTGTGTGTGTCTCTGTGTCTGTCTGTGTGTGTATGTCTCACCACTTGCCAATTTCAATTTGTCTTCTAAAAAAAATTTCCTTTTCGTTTGCTCTTTGTTTGTCTCCCCTAAGAAAAAATGTCTCACCACTTTCTTTTTCCGTTTTCAATTTGTCTCACCACTTGCACCTGTAAACTTTCTTTTTGTATCTATGCCATAGTTGATTTTCATGATTGAACAAACCAGTTACTTTTAAATTTATTTTTTAATTTGGGTCTTCTGCTAAGGTTGCATGGCTTTACTCTTTTCTATTTGAGAAAGAAAGTATGGGGCCTCTTTCAAATCGGGACTGCCACTGCTTCAGTGGCTTAGGCCTCGAGGCCTAAAGTTTTTTAGCATTGTGATTCATGATGAGAGCGTGTAATGAAGTAAATCTGATAGTTCTTAAATCACCAACCATAGTTTCATTGCTTCATGTGCACAGTATAGGATTATGGAATGGGATTGGAATGGTATAATTTTGTGTGATGGATCACACCATGACAACCAATCAGAAACCATGGATATCAGATCCATGTGCTCTCATAGGCACAAACTTTATTTTAAAATTTTTGTGGTCTTTAGGATTTCCTGAAAAATAGGGATACATTATTTATATGGTAAGGATTAAAATGTTTTTTGTGATGTCGGAATCCTAAAATTAATAACTTTTTAATGAATCTTTTGATTAAGGTAAATTAGGAGATAGTGAGTTCAAAATTTTAGATGTAGTAGCCAAACATATTTTCTGAGAAATTGTAGCACTATTTTACTTTAGATGTACTAGCCAAACAGATTGCGTTTTAGCCTTCCCTTGACTGCATAACATGGATTTATTGCCTTGCATGATGTTTGAGTGATCAACCACTTTTGGTAATATCCTGGAGAGTTTGGTATATTATCCTTTTCAAGTTGATTTTTTTATTTATTAATATATACATATTTGGTTAAAAGAAGGGGTGACCATTGGTATTTCGGGATTTAAATGTGATGTAGGGGGGGGGGTTGGTCCATTTTGTTACCCATTTTCGTATAACAAATTTGTGTCCTTAACAAAAGTGTCACACCCATTGACCTACTCTTGTTGTGCTTGTCATGTCCCGAAAAAAGTCACGAAAGAAACCATGGCCTCATTTATGTCAACTGCCACATCAGCAGAACTAGCCCGTATGTGTGCATGTGGGTACGGGCACTGTGTTGTAAAGATTTCCCGTTCTGTAAGGAACCCTGGTCGTGCGTACTACCAATGCCCTCGTGGAGTGGTGAGTACAAGCACGTTTCCTTTTACATTTCCTTCTTAAACCGTTACTAATTTTTTTTTTTAACCTCAGCCATGTGTCAGTTGGATTGGGTGGTGTGACGAATTTGGGCGCCAAAGGGCAGCTGAGAATGAGACACAGAATGTCACTCGTTTTGAGGGTCGTTTCCGTGACATTGAACAAACTTTGCGTGTACTTACAGTAGTGACATGTGTCCTTTGCATCGTCGTCATTATTTTGTTGTTTCGGATGTGAGATATGTAACCATGGTAGCAACCGTACCTTAATTTTGTTAAGCGCATTATGGTTTGTGGCTGAAAAAAAATTATGAATGTCTGTTTTGTTCGTAAACATGTATTTTCCATCTAATTCCGCTACTGTTTGTTTTTGTTTCAAGTAGTAATGTCTTTAAATGAATCTATTGGGCTATATTTTCTGTCTAATACCACATTTCTGACATAAAATTGTGTTCCTCATATTGGTAATACGCACAATTGTTAGTGTATACATATTTTTATGTTGGTTCCCGTGTCACGCTATTGTTAGTCGCATGGCGTCACATCGATCTACGCCTCGTACCCCTTCCGGAAAAGGGAAACGCCAACAACCCTATCATAAAGCAACTTGGGATGGGGAGTCGACACGGATTTTCTTGGAACTGGTTGTGAAGGAAATTGAAGCAGAAAACCGGCCACACATGTCAATCACTCCAAACGGGTACCGTTCGTTGTCTAAGACATTTGAGGCAGCAACTGGGCGGCTGCATTCCCTCAAACAACTTAAAAACAGGTACAATCTGTTGAAGACCGAGTGGCGTGCGTGGTGTAAGCTAATGGATTGCCGGAAAGGCCCAACTGGAATTGGCTTTGACCAAGTAACTGGGCTGTTCAATGCTTCGGCTGATTGGTGGGCTAAAATGGAAAAGGTAACGGTTTATATTTTCTTTTTCGTGTCCGTTATTGCATAACTAATATCTCAATTTTTGTATGTGTATCATGCTGTCCAGTGTAGTTTAAAACATTCAATTTTCTAACTTTACCTAATATTATGATAACTATAACATAAAATATGATAGCAACTAGAATTTAAATTAGAGTTGTGTTGTCTGTAAAATTGATTTTCTTCAGCATTGTGAAAGTGTTAACGGAATGAAGCAAATTCAAGATAAAATATAGTTCGATCCCATCTGTATGAACTAAAATATGGAGAGATAATGTAGCTTTATGAGAAGAATGAAAAGATATCGGGTGTCTTGAAGGCATAGTGTCTTATCTATCAAATTATAAGTTTATGTGCATGGAACTTGCTTTCACTGTGTAGTAATGAATTATAAAGAGCTTTTTCCTTTACCATCCTTTTTTTTTTTTTTGATAAGTAAAATTAAATATATTAAATGAGCTTTCTTTCTCTTCCTATAAATGGTGATGGGCTACAAAATGAGGGGTAGCACACTCCTTCCCCATGAAATCTTAACTTGGATGAAGGCAGGAATCAATCCCAGATCTCTGATACCAGGCCACCAGACTTTACCAACCAAGCTGGCTGGAAATTTACCATATTGGTGTCAAGTTAACCATCAAGCAAGCACGTTTGAGGTTTTGGTACCCCCCCTTCTCTCTCTCTCTCACAGCCCAACCCTTCCAAAATCCCTTAAATAGTAGTGTTGACTTCAAAGTGAGTATCTGTGACATTTTATATGAAAATGGAGAGAAAACAACAGACAGCATTGTCACTAATGATGAAACGTCTATGTTTGTGCAGTGCTCATGATATGTTATTTACTCAACATGTTGAATTGATAAATGTAGGCTATGTGCAAACATCAAGCTAAATTGTGGTAGATGCTTAATTTTGAATTTTTTGGATAATATGTACATGCTAGACATCCTTGCAAATATGTAAAATTTTGGCATAATCAGATGCTCCCTAAAAAAATTTAGGTCACATTCTTGGCATCAATCTTCAGTCATCTACTGTCCATATCAGATAGTGCTGAAAAGTAGGAAATTTTGGGTTGGACAAGGCCTTATATATCTGCGATATAGAAGTATATCCTTAATTTGACAAAACAAACCTTACGTAGTACTATAGTAGAGATTACGATGGGGCCTGATTTGTTGTGTCATTCTCCTATCCTATCCAAGCAATAAAATTATAGTCTTGTGTGATGTTTAATTTTAATGTACTAGCAAACTCATCATATTAAGGTTTCTTGTTTGCTTTCGTGTTTAATGTGTCATGGTCAGTTAATCTAGGGATAGATAACAGAGAAGCTCTATTTTGACACTTTTTTTTCTTGTACTGGAATATTCAAGTCATCCTCCTGATGTTACAATATTTATATTTTAATGACAAACAGGAAAGAATATTTTGAAACTGTTATGTGGATGTTGCTGTTATCACTTATATTTTGCATTTCTCTAAATAGCATTATATCCATATTTGTTGTTGAGAGACCACTTTGCTTGAGCTAGGGCTCTGTATCACGTTTGTGTTTTTTTGTTTTGTTTTGTTTTGAGTTGCGAGGGAAATTGATGAAAAATTTATGAATAATTTGCCACAAAAATGTAGCATAATCAATCAATTTCTAACAAAATCCTGTGTATATTGTGATGCATCCATTTGTTTTTCTGGCAATTATTATTCTCTTGCACGATAAAAATGTATCATAATGTTCATTTTTTGTATTGATAGTTTTCTACAAAAATGTTCCCATAATTTCAATCAGTATTGTTAAGTCACCAATTCTCCCAGAATCCTAAGCTGTTAGGAAATGGGCCCAACAATTTATATCAAGCTATCTAACAAGTATATCTATCAAAATTCTGTGTGTATATATATTGTGATACATCCATCTGCTCTTGGGACAATTATTATTCTCTTGCATATAAAATATGGGCTCCATTCTAAGTTATTTGAGTTAACTCTAAAACTAGGCATGAAAACCTCTATTATGATACCACGTGAACACCATTTTACCCTTTGAAATAAAACAAGTTTATTAAGATATATGAATATTATTTCGTGTCCCCGTGTCCTTGGACATGACATGAGAATTAGATGAATCAGGCATTTAGATGCACACACTAGATACCCATACCTGAGTTCATAGAACATAGGCTCCTTTGATCTTCACTCGTGGCATTGTTAATAAATTCTGCAGTTTGCTTTGCTGGTTGCATTCCTTATCTTGGTTCACGAACACATTTTTTCCCTCTGAAATTTGGATTCTTATACTGTGAGCATCATTTACGTATTGATTGACACTGTGGCTGCAGGTCGATCCTGTTTCAGCTGGGGTTCAGTATGATAAAGAATTCATTGTGTGCTCTTTGGACTTGCTCTCTGGACTTGCTGAAGGTCTTGGTAGTGGGATAGAGAGTTTGGTATTCCCCCTTCTCTAATTCTCTCTCTCTCTCTCTCTCTCTCTCTCTTATATACATGTATATATAGGAGAGCAAGAGAAAGAAAAGAAAGAAAACAAAATCTATTGAAGAGAAGCCTATTGAAGAGAAAGAAAAGAAAGTAAAGTAAATATATACATGTATATATAGGAGAGCAAGAGAAAGAAAAGAAAGAAAACAAAATCTATTGAAGAGAAGCCTATTGAAGAGAAAGAAAAGAAAGTAAAGTAAATATATACATGTATATATAGGAGAGCAAGAGAAAGAAAAGAAAGAAAACAAAATCTATTGAAGAGAAGCCTATTGAAGAGAAAGAAAAGAAAGTAAAGTAAATATATACATGTATATATAGGAGAGCAAGAGAAAGAAAAGAAAGAAAACAAAATCTATTGAAGAGAAGCCTATTGAAGAGAAAGAAAAGAAAGTAAAGTAAATATATACATGTATATATAGGAGAGCAAGAGAAAGAAAAGAAAGAAAACAAAATCTATTGAAGAGAAGCCTATTGAAGAGAAAGAAAAGAAAGTAAAGTAAATATATACATGTATATATAGGAGAGCAAGAGAAAGAAAAGAAAGAAAACAAAATCTATTGAAGAGAAGCCTATTGAAGAGAAAGAAAAGAAAGTAAAGTAAATATATACATGTATATATAGGAGAGCAAGAGAAAGAAAAGAAAGAAAACAAAATCTATTGAAGAGAAGCCTATTGAAGAGAAAGAAAAGAAAGTAAAGTAAATATATACATGTATATATAGGAGAGCAAGAGAAAGAAAAGAAAGAAAACAAAATCTATTGAAGAGAAGCCTATTGAAGAGAAAGAAAAGAAAGTAAAGTAAATATATACATGTATATATAGGAGAGCAAGAGAAAGAAAAGAAAGAAAACAAAATCTATTGAAGAGAAGCCTATTGAAGAGAAAGAAAAGAAAGTAAAGTAAATATATACATGTATATATAGGAGAGCAAGAGAAAGAAAAGAAAGAAAACAAAATCTATTGAAGAGAAGCCTATTGAAGAGAAAGAAAAGAAAGTAAAGTAAATATATACATGTATATATAGGAGAGCAAGAGAAAGAAAAGAAAGAAAACAAAATCTATTGAAGAGAAGCCTATTGAAGAGAAAGAAAAGAAAGTAAAGTAAATATATACATGTATATATAGGAGAGCAAGAGAAAGAAAAGAAAGAAAACAAAATCTATTGAAGAGAAGCCTATTGAAGAGAAAGAAAAGAAAGTAAAGTAAATATATACATGTATATATAGGAGAGAAAGAGAAAGAAAAGAATAAAATGGAAGCAATCAATTGAAGAGAAACCCATTACAAAAATCTTGTTCAAATGACACATACATCTACATAAATCTATATACATATAGAGAGAGAGGGAGAGGAGAGAAAAAGCATACTTCTTCAAGTTGGGTCTGAGTTTGTTAACCCAACGAAGGCGACAAGACTTGCCAGTGCGGTTTAAGAGACCTTTGGATCGAATGGAGCTCCAATCTCTTGGGCCATACTTGTTCACATGCTTTATCAACACTTCATCTTCTTCTTCCTTCCATGGTCCCTTCCTTATCTCTTCAACCCCCATTACTGAAACTTCTTCACCATCTCGATTACGACGACCCATTCATTGATCTTTCATTTACTTCACACACACACACACCCACTAATTAATTCTACTACTAATTAATCAACAATTCAGTATTCAATTTCAATTTCAAAAACCCCAAAAAAGTTCACTTGTAAATTCTAGTTTCACCCAAATGTTTCAGATTTCTTCACTTAGATTCTGTCTGCAACCCCTCTCTCTCGCTTATGTGTTGTGGTGGTGGCGGTTAAGGCGGTTACTGCCACCACTCACCCACTAAATAGTATTTTTCAGTCACATTCCCAATTTTTTCTCTGTTCAAAATAGTTACGCGAAGTTACACAAATGCCCATTAATTTTTTTATTTTTTATTTTCTAATCTCAGCCTTTTAAGAAAATTAGATTAGACTAGGGTTATGTGTTTAGATGACATTGATGTATACTGGAAAGTATGCACCTCTATATAAAGGTCCAATTTAGGTGGGTTTTATTTAATTTGAATTTTTTTAGGGTTTGGATAAAGTATTTTTAAATTCGGTATGAGTTTGAATAAAAATTTAGTAGTTTGAATTAAATATGGATGAAATTAGGTAAAAATATCAAACAATCCGAACAACTCGAAACCTGAATTATATATATAAATATATATAAAAAATATTGAATATACATATAAATTATTAGTCATTAGATGATATTAAGGTAATTTAGATCATATTGAATATATATTATATACACAAGTAACACAATACAAAATCGGATTATAATTCGGGTTAGGGCAGACAACCTTGGATTATAATCCGAGCTTAGGCAGGGCTGAGCAGCTCTCAATATAACTTGGGTTAAGCTTGGACAATTTCTCAACCCGCCTAAACACATCCAAGTTGCACCCTTATCTCTATATGGTTGTGCAGCTACAAATCAGTAATAGTTTATATTTGAATTTGTAATCTAACTTTACTAACAAACTAACATCGTATAATCTTGGATAATAAAAAAAGGTTTGTGTTTGAATTTGATAATTACAGGAGAAGGCTAGTTGGGAAGTAAAAAAATGTGACAAAAAAATT